GTTATGTTTGTATATTTAGTAGAGATGGGTTTTACTTATGTCCAACAGGCTGCTCTGGAACTCCTGACCTCTGGTGATCTGCCTGCCTTGGCCTCCCAAAGTGCTGGGATTACAGGCCTGAGCCACTGAGTATGGACTCCACACTTTCAAACAACTAGATCTTGTGAGAACTCTGTCATGAGACAGTGCTAGGGGGATGGTGCTAAATGATTAGAAACCACTCCTGTAATCCGATCATCTCCCACCAGGCCCCACCTTCAAGTTCCTTCACAAAATGGATTATTCCAGAGCTGATGTGGGAAAAGATGACCATGGAACATCTTTTGTGCCAAGACATAAGGAAGTTTATGAAGAATGACAGGGACATGTCAAAAGGACACAGAAGGCAGATTGAAGGGGCTTCTACTAGCCAAATCTGGGATATCTTGAGCATCAAAATGAAAATGTTCGTGATGGATTATTACTTATTGGATAAGGCAGGAAACTGTAAGCCCATACTGAAATAAATCAACTTAAACAAATAAAACATTTGATATGGGATGAGATTTTTACATAATTTCAAAGTGTTTTTCTAGAAACTAATAACAAGAAATGTGATGGTATAAAGGAGAATTCTGGTAGATAGTATTTTAAGCAAATGACCTAAGTGAATGTCATCAGTAATGGGACAACTCAAAACTATGGTTATTCTGTGTGATTCCTGACCAAAGATGCATAACCCGAATCTAACCCAGAGGAAACATAAGAGACCCAAATTGACAGACATCTACAAAATAACTGGCCTGGATTCTTCAAAAGTATCAAGGCTATGTGAAAGTCACAGGAAGACTGAGAAATGGTTCCAGATTGAAGGAGACATAAAAACTAAATGTAACATGTGATTCTGAACGAGATCCTTTTGCAAAATGGGCATTATTGGGATGCCTGGCCAAACTCAAATGGTGTCTGAGGATTCGATGGTAGTAATATAAAATATTAATTTTTCAATTTTCTCTGCTTTTGACAGTTATGTTGAGGTTCTGTAGAATGTCCTTGTTTGTGGGAATTGCACACTGAAGTACTTGGGGATGAGGGGTCTCCTGTCAACAATACACTTATAACTGGTTCGGGAAAAGAAGATTTGGCATTGTGCTTCCAACTTTTCTATAAGCTTCAGATTGTTTCAAAGAAAGAAAAGCATGTGACCCTAAGGGGCCTATTTATTGTAATAATTAAGTAGTAAGAACGTTGCACTAAAAATGTGTGCTGGTGGTGGTGTTTGTTGTGGGGCACGCGTGTGTTTGATGCTATTTTGTGTGTGCCCCTGACACCGGACCATCACCCAGGCCTGGCACTCATGACCCATCTGGAGTCAAACCTTCTCCTCCTTGGTTTGTCTCTTTAGACACTGGGGCCCATCTGAAAGTTCAATATAGTGTGGGTAAATGCCCATAGTTGATGTGGCCAGTATATTTGTAAAACCTTTAATATCTTTGAACTACATCTAATTTCTAACTTTCTATTGCTTCTGGTGATCCCAATTTCAGGGACCTAGGAGATACTGAATTTAAACTACAAGGTTATTAAATATTTTAGCACTTAAGTGAAGACTAAAGATGGGCAAGGATTTTTCTTTTCTAAACACTTCTATATAGTTACTTGTATAACATGGTAAAGAAAAGGTGACATTTGCGTGAAATGGTTTTCCCATGCATCGTTAATCAAGCTAATATGAACTGTAAGCAATATCTGTTGCTTACATTCTCACCATCACTATCCTGCCATTTAAACTTTCTTGAAATTATTTCTAGCTATTAATCTGTACTTGTAAATAACAAAACTCAGTTAAACTGAACCGCAGGTATCTGGTCCTCCATAGCTCCCTGCAGGGAGGGGATAGAGGCTGTAGAGCAGGTGGAGGTGAAGGGAGTGGGAGGGAGCAGGCATCTCATCACTCAGTTCTGATCTTCTTTGTCCTTCCCTCGTCTTCCATTCTCCAAGATTAGTTGAGTGTCAGTTACATGTCAGGCAGGGTAATGGCACTGGCGAGCCAATGATGAAACAGATACACTCTGGGCCTTTTCAGGAGCACTGAATTTGTAGGGAGAGAGACTGCTGAGCTAGGAATTCAAGAATATTCTGGCCGGGTATGGTGGCTCACAACTGTAATCCCAGCCCTCAGGAGACCAAAGTGGGCAGATCATGAGTTCAGGAGTTTGAGACTAGCTTCACCAATATGGTTAAATCTCATCTCTACTAAAAATACAAAAAAAAAAAAAAAAAAAAAACAGGCTGGTCTCGAACTCCTGACCTCAGTGATCTGCCCACCTCAGCCTCCCAAAGTGCTGGGATTACAGGCATGAGCCACCGCGCCTGGCAGGTTTTATTTTTTATTTTTCTTACCATGCTTATGCTTCGCTCTGTCTTCTCAAACACACGGAGAACATCGATAAGTCCCATTTCACATCCTTGTCTGCTAATTCTATCATTGTTTCCCTGAGAAAACATCTGTTTTTCTGACTTTCCCTTTTTGTTAAGATGAAAAATTTAATATTACTAGATCTCCTCTTGGTGTACTTAGTAATCTTGAAAGTTGCACTAAGTTATCAGTGGAGTATCAGAAAATAAGACCTTTGGAAAAAGATCTAAATATGTTTAGCTCAATAGCACTCAATGCAATATGAAATCACAGTTGATATTGGACAGAAAATTTTAAGGAACAGAAATTCAATCTCTCATGTCAACATACACATCAGATCCAAACCATAATTTACCATGCACTGACTTCTTCCTGTTTTTCTAAAGAGAATGTTTAAAAGTTTGAGCTGAATTATATGACAGAATATAATTGCATTTTCCACAAGTTTTTAATTTAGCCTACATGTTAAAACAAGAACCTCTTAGATTTACTTAAGAGTTTTACATAAACACAAAAAATGTTCTAGAACAACCGATTCAATTTTAGAAGCACCATGTCGACACATAGCCTTTAAAAGATATTAAAATTTTATAAAGTATACATGCAGCTTAATCTTTACTTACTTGTTTTTGAGCAATTTTTCATTTAAATTATTTTCTTCAAACTCGACCTGAAATAGAAACAGCTATCTCCACCAATAGAACATTCAAGCTAGGGCAGGATGAAGATAAGGCTTGAATCCAGAGGTCCTGGGTAATTCCTTGGCTAATATTTTCACCAGGCTACAGCTAAAATCCAGCTTCCATGGGTAGAGAGGAGTGTTGTCATTTGGTCATTTCCACCAAATTAAAAACTTATTGCTTTCACTGAGTTAAAATGGAATCCTGCTTAAGCCAGAGTCAGTCAGAACTCACACACACACACACACAATTAGCCAAGTGCCTGTAACCCCAGCTATTTACTCTAGCCTGAGTGACAGAGTGAGACTCTGCCTCAAAAAAAAAAAAAAAAAATTATAATACTTTCCACAAAAGAAATCAGGCCAGGCGTGATGGCTCATATCTGTAATCCCAGCACTTTGGGAGGCCGAGGCAGGGGGATCACTTGAGGTCAGGGGTTCAAGACCAGCCTGGCTACCATGGTGAAACCCCATCTTTACTAAAAATACAAAAATTAGCCAGACATGGTGGCAGACGCTTGTAATCCCAGCTACTTTGGAGGCTGAGGTGGGTAAATTGCTTGAACCAAGGAGGCAGAGGTTGCAGTGAGCTGAGATCGTGCCATTGCACTCCAGCCTGGGCGACAGAGTGAGACTCTGTCTCTAAATAAATCAATTAATTAAATAAAGCAGGTAAAACTCAATCGGCAACAACAAACTCCCCTGTATGCTACGCTGAGGAGTTCGGACTTTCTTCTAGGATGATGGGATGTCAGGGGAGGGTCTGCTGGAGGCACCCATGATCACTTTGCTCCCAGCACAGGGATTCTGTGATTCTCAGGAGCAGGAAGGAACTGCCTGACCCCTGTATGCTGTGAGAATTGTCACACTCTTGCTTCACTGAGCTCTCTGCTCACACATTACCTCTTCCTGTCCTGTCTAACCTCATGAAAACAACATGCCCAAGACTTTCTACTCCTCATCTGCCTTTATTTTTCTACCTAGAACCTCCCAAGTGTTTCACTTATCTGTGTGTTGTCTCCCCCACAGGTGTATAAACTCTATGACACCAGCGACTTTGTCTTATTACTATCGGTCCTCATGGTGCCTTGTACTGTGCCAGCCATATAGAAAATGCCTGTAGATTCTTGAATGAGTGAAGAGTGATGCAAATCTCCCACAAATCACGGTCCAAGACCTTGGAAACACAGACTCAGATTCTAGAACGAGAACTTTGCAGTCCCTAAGGGGCTCTTGCAGCCCAGGTTGAGAGATGGTGAATAAGAAGTCTCAAGAGGCTCTCTAAGCAACGACAGCTTTCCAAACGAGTTGGCAAATCCCAACCCTTACAATTCTGTTTCTGTCTGTTCCCCAGAGCCAGCCTTTGATAATGGAAAGGCAGGGCTGAGATAATGTTCTATTTTAGGGCTGTTAGAAATTAGCCAAGGATCTCACCAGGGCAAGAGGAAGCCTAGATCTTTCCTCTAAAATGCAGTCCAAAGCCAGAGCTTGGACTAGAAAAGCTGGTGTTTTCCTGAATGCCCATGAGACCTCAAAATGGGCAGGCCATGTCCTTCAGGAGATCACATGGGTCTCATGATGTCTCAGCCTTAGCATATCATCTTCAACTTCACAGCATCTTCCAGGCTAGGCTCTGAAGCGACATAGGGCCGTCATGGTACAGTAGTGCCTTCATCAACAAGCTTCCTAGATGAGTGTCCCTCTTGGGGGTAGTTCTTTGGATCTCTAGCAGTCTACTGATGTAGAGTGGCCAGAGTCCAGAAACTTCACGGAATGGGGTCACGTCTTCTGCTTTTCTAAGTCACATGGCTAGAATCACCTTAAATTACTAGGAAAACAGACAAATCTCAATGATCTGAAAACTGGTGGCCTTGTTTCTAGGTCTTTACCGTTTGAGAACCAATCAATGTGTTCCTTTTCCAGGCAACCAAAACCTCATGTCCTGGATATGCAAGGAAAACACAGTCGTGCCTCTTTTGCCTGGCATATGAGTGATTTTGAGGACACTGATCGGAGAGATTCCAAATGGGCTACTCTTGTTAGGCAGAGTAAGTCACTAACGCCAAGAACTTCCGAGCTGTCTAAGCTGCCGAAGCTACCAAAAAAGGAAAAGGTACAATTTTTTTGCTTTTCTAAATCGTTATAGAAAATGACAGCCTGCTTTAACATATAAACTGGGGAGGGGTTTTTCATAGTAATACTAAGTTTGATAGCTTCTTTTAAACCATCGAAGCATTTTGTAATCCATATTGGATTGCCACAGTGAGGTTTATTCAGTGGGTAAGTGGGCATCATTCCCCTTTTATAGTTAAAACAAGAGGTTGCATCCTCAGAATTTCTTATCACTGAGTTTGACCTTGAGATAACAGCCATCCCTGTGATTTCCAAGAACTGAGAAAGCATTGTTTGTGAAATGGAGGTAAATCTGTAACTCCCCTCAAAACCCTCACAGACTGGTTCACAGAGCAAACTTATACCCATTTGAATGCTAGGATTTCCGCTAAACCACTTATGGAATCGTCGGCAAGCTGCCTAACTCCCTGTATGGGTTTTTATAAGTAAAATGGGAATTTTGGTATCTGTTCTGAATATTTTACAGAGTTAGGAGGAGAATTAAGTAAATAATGTGGAAGTATATACTCAACAACTATTTCCTGAGGTCTGCGTACGAACCATTTGCCAGTAATAGCTTTCTGCCTAATCCACAGCGCAATGAACTTTGCAGGCGTCCAGTTTTCTCCATAGAGTTTGGCAGCAAATTTTCATGATAGAAAAAGGAATAGAATCACTCAGGCCCATTCAGACTCCTGTTCCCCACACATAGAAAGACTTCTTGCTCTTTTGGAGAATCTTGCCAACTCACTAGAATATTACTCACCCTTTGTTGCCAGAGATCTGATTCATTAGCAAGTAATTATGTCTACTTGAGACATTCTGTGAGGAGGGAGACTTAGTTGTCCGCCTCAGTAGATGCTGACCTTAGGAATAGTTCGTATTGAAAAAGGAAAGAGTTCAACAAATAACATTTCTATGTAGTCTGAATTTTGGGATAGGTCCAAATGAAGTGATTTATTGCAGCATGTGGAGGAGGGCTTGGATTAGTTACTTTCTGTCACTGAACTAATTTTGTGTCAGATTAGAGCTATTACGGATTAAATTATCCCAAACGCCTCTATCATTCACCAAATCCAGTTGAGATATTTTTTGCATTAAGAAAGTCTGTTAAAAGACTTCTTATTTTGATTTCAAATTTGTAGAGCAAGTTGTAACAACAGTACAAAGAACTCTTGATATACTCTTTCCCCAGCCCCATCTGTTGTTCATTTCATTCGCTTTAGGGTTTGCTTTCTTGCTCTCTCTCTTGCACCATTTGAGGTCAAATTGCAGACATGATGCCCCCTAACTTCTCTTGTCTTTTTTTCAGAGATATGGTGGTCTCACTATGTTGCCCAGGCTGGAGTGCAGTGGCTACTCAATGGGCACAACCACAGTGCACCAGAGCCCTGAACTCCTGGGCTCAAACAATCCTCCCACCTCGGCCTCCCGAGTAGCTAGGACTATAGGCACAGACCCTATGGATTAAATGGTCTATAGGCTAAACCCTTCACTCCTAAATATTTCAGGGTATATTTCCTAAGAACAAGGATGCTCTCCCACACAACCACAGTACAATGTATAAGATTCAGGAAATTTAACATTGATACAGTGTATTATTATCTAATCTAAAGTTCATAGTCGTATTTTCTTAAATAGCAGATGGTGGTGGTTTGCACCTATAATCCCAGCACTTTGGGAGGCTAAAGTGGAAAGATCATTTGAGCCCAGGAGTTTGAGAGCAACCTGGGCAACATAGTGTGACCTGTCTCTATGAAAAATATAAAAAATCAGGCAGGTGTGGTGGTACATGTCTGTAATCCCAGCTACTCAGGAGGCTGAGGTGGGAGGTTTGCTTGAGCACAAACCTTCAAGTCTGCAGTGAGCTATGATTTTGTCACTGCACTCCAGCCTGCATGACACAGAGCCTGACTGTCTTAAATAATAACAACAGCAACAACAAGGTATTAACTGATAACCTTTGTTATATCCTGATCCAGGATTCAATCTAGGACCATGTATTACATTTAGTCATCACATCTCTTCAGTCTCCTTCAATTTGGAAGAGTTCCTCAGTCTGGTCTTTTATAACATGGACATTTTTGAGGAATGTAAATGGGCTTGTGTGATGTTTCCTCAGGAGTGGGTTCAGGTTACGTGTTTTTGTCAGGAATCCCAGATAAGTGATGTAGCTTTGTGCTCAGAGCATCACATCAAGAGGCACCTGAGGCTGGTTTAACCCATTATTCATGAGAGTAAGTTGAGCACTTGGTCATACGCTTTTCCATTCCAGAAATGAACAACATACTGAATCATTCAAAATAATTTCTCTTTTTATCAATGAGGCTTTCTTCTAAATTTCCAGAGATACATTAGATACTTGTCACACAAGTTCATTTTTTGGGCTATCCTGCAGAGTTTGTGCGGATGCTTCAATAAATACTCAATCCCTCTTTTACATGAATCCTCTTCAGGGAAAATAAATTGGAACAAGTGCTCTTATATATTCAAGAGCAAATAATGAATACCACATGTGAAAAGCCTCCAACGCAATGCCTCACACATAGCTACCAATGAGTGGCTATCATTACTATTCTTACTTGAGATGCCAACACATTTTCCATTCTTATGCTGCAAGAATCAGAACCATGCACTCTGACCTCAAGTGATCCACCCACCTTGGCCTCCCAAAGTGTAGGGATTACAGATGTGAGCCACGGCTCTCAGCCTAGGCTGACCTTTAAATAAAGAAGTGACGGTTAAATTTTCATTTTAGAAAGATGGAGGCATCAGCTGGGAGGACTGATTAGAGCTGCTTGATTATGAAAAGGTGGTGTGTTTGGAAGGCATTTTGATAACTCAATTGAGAACCAGGAAGGATTGTTGTAAGGCAGAAAGAAAGGCGCAAAGGTAATGCATTTGAGACATAAGGAAGGTTGTTTCGACAGCTCTCAGTGCTGACTAGACGTGGGAAAAAAACTTGTTATTGTGGGAAGGAAGGACATAGAGGCTGAACCCTCAGATCTCTGTGAGGTGGTGGGGAGTGGGAGCCAGGTGGCAGTGTGTAGAGAATGAATAGGAAGCAAAGAAGTGAAAGGCAAGTAAACCTCTCTAGAAAACGTTTAGCTCTCAATAAAGGAAAGACAGGATAAAAAGAGGGGGCATAGGAGAAGGAAGGGCTTAATATAAGGGGATTTAAAAAATATATATTTTGAGTAGAAAAAAGTAAATTGAGAACCTAAAGGAGAGGGAAAGGGATAACTGATGGTTTGAGATCCTCAAGAAAAAAGAGGGAGAGGCATAACTTATAGGAATTAGTATGTAACTGTAGCGATGAATCTTTATAGGAAGGGAACTCTTTTCCTCCCCACCTGCCCCTGCTTTTTTCTTTTTTGAGTCGGAGTCTCGTCCTGTCACCCAGGCTGGAGTGCAATGGCACGATTTCAGTTCACTGCAACCTCCGCCTCCCAGGTTCAAATGATTCTCCTGCCTCAGCCTCCAAAGTAGCTGGGATTACAGGTGCCTGCAACCACGCCCAGCTAATTTTTATATTTGTAGTAGAGATAGGGTTTGACCATGTTGGCCAGGTTGGTCTCGAACTCCTGGTCAGGTGATCCACCTGCCTCAGCCTCCCAAAGTTCTGGGATTACAGGCATGAGCCACCGTGCCCAGACTTTTCCTCCACTTTTAATAAAATGTTACCTTCTTCCTTCTCAGAGGGTTGCTTCTGTTTTTCAGTTCTTTTTAACACATATTCAGAGACTATGTGACATCTATGTCAACCTTTATGGGATAATTCTCAAATTGGTAGGGTTTATTATGTTAAAGGTATTTGCTTGAAAGTCTACTTCCTGTAACTTGGAATGATGATTTTTTTAATCCTATTCAACTCTATTTTGGGTTATCATGCCATATCATTGGGCTGATCTCCTAAGTACCTGTATCAGTCAGGGTTTTCCAGAGAAACAGAACCAATGGTGTGTGTGTGTGTGTGTGTGTGCACGCACAGGCACACAAGAGCTGGGAGAGGTGTTTAGGCTTAAAGTAACTTTAGAGATGTTTTATTTTGGCTCCAGTGATTGTGGAAGTTGGCAAATCCAAATGCAGCAGGGTGGGCCAACAGGGCAGAGACCCTGGGAGGAACTGATGCTGCAGCTCGAGCCTGAAGGCAGTTTGCAGGCAGAATTCTCTCTTCCTGGGGGAACGTCAGTCTTTCTCTTAAAGCCTTCAACAGATTGAATGTGGCCTACCACATTATGGAGGATAATCATTTTTATTCAAAGTCTAATGACTTAAATATTAACTCACATAAGAAATACCTGCATAGCATCATCCAGATTGGTGTTTGACCAAATATCAGAGTACTATAGCCTAGCCAAGTTGACACATAAAATTAACCATCACAGGCTAGGCCTGGTGGCTCATGCCTATAATCCCAATGCTTTGGGAAGCTGAGGCAGGAAGATCCTGTAAGTCCCATAGTTCAAGACCAGCCTGGGCAACAGAGTGAGACCCTGTCTCTACAAAAAAAAAATTTTTTTTTGAATTATCTGGGTGTGTTGGTGCATGCCTGTAGTCCCAAGTACTTGGGAGGCTGAGACAGGAGGATCACTTGAGGCCAGAAGTTTGAGGTTACTGTGAGGTATGATCATGCCACTGTACTCCAGCCTCGGTGACAAAGACCTTGTCTCTTAAAACAGAAAACAAACAAAAAACCTAACCATCACAGTATCCCTCCCTCTCATCCATTGTGAGGATTAAATCAGGGTAACATACAAAAAACACCTGACAGAACGGTCCAGGCACTAGGCATCTAAAAAGCACTGTGGTGTGCACATGTGTTTAAATCCTTTTATAGATGGCATGGTTTTAAAGCTGTTTCACCCAAGTGCACAGTGGGGAAACCAACCTTGGGGAGCTGAGCATGCAGGAAAAGGAAAAAAAAATAAGCTTCTGGAAAAAATACTTGAAATTTTCATTTATCAGAAAGGATTTTGAAACCTCTACTGTAATTTCTCCATGGTCTTTAAGATAACATAACTCAGTATGGCTTACGTTGGGACCAACAGTTGCACTCAATGGCATATTTTTTCCTGAGACCAGACGTATCAGTGGACATCGTCCCTTTTCAGAGCAAATATTTTATAATGCCCCTTTTATTACCCTAAAATAAAATTTACAAATGTACTCAATTTATATCAAACCAATATAAGTACCCTATTGTAATTTAAAATAAATGTAAAAGTAATTTATAATACTACTTTAATCGATAACTATTAGGGCACTAGATTAGAAAATACAATGAAGTAGACAGATGAAGTAAGCATCCATATACAGAGTCTTCATGAATGCAGTAGCTATGAATGAAGACCGATAGTGCTGTATTGGTGACTCGAATTCCATGGGTACCATAGCTGTTGGTAACATAGTTTTCCAAAAGTCAATTCTCGGTAAAGACCAAGTGACCACTTCTTGTTAACATTCTAAACCTTACAAAGTAAAAATCTTCCCTCAATTTATACAATGGCTGCATTCCTGGAGAATGCATTATGTACTAAAATCATGTTAAAAATACATTGTATTATGTACAGCAGAATTATCAGATCATTATAAATGGGCTTTCTTAGCCACATAAATGTCCAACAGGACACTGAAGGGTTACACAGGAGGTGGGACAGTTCCTCATCCCGTGGGGCTGTCTCTCGTGGTGCAGGACATTTTGCCTGTCATCTGAGCTCCCACCTTCTCTGTGCCAGTAATCCTAACCTGTCATTATGCTAACCAAAAATGTCCCTGCATTTCCAAAACACCCTGGTTGAAACCACTAACATATATAATTGGCTTGTTTTCAGCATGAATTATTAGAAATGAGACCTCTGTATTTGATTAAATGTAACAAGCAAATCACATGTAGCACCAGGAAAATGTTCAAGATAAATTCAAAAGGTTTATTGCACCAAATGCCACAGAAAAATGGATCAAAATAATAAACAGTTTTAAAAAAATTCCCACACAATGACATTGGTATCTATTCCAACTGATCAAAAACGAAGTCCTATCAATTTCTCTCATGGAGCTTCAAATAACAAATTCCAGAATTCTCTCTTTTTTGAAATGCCACTTAAATTTAAGCATATTGCAATCTCGCTTTCAACATATATGGTTCATCATGTTTTGACATTTAAAAATTAACATTCAGAGGGGACAGCTTGATTTAGGCAAAAATTATATTAAAATACCCTCTCCTCCAAGCACAATAAAAAACAAATTGTTCACATTTACCAAGAGAAGCTGAAGACATTTTCATTTTAACAGCGAAAGTATGCATGAACAAAATACTCTCAAAAGTACATAGTAGTGGAAAAATCCAGACATTTAAAAGAATTTTGGGGTCATTTTATATTCTGTATTTTTATGTACAACCAACTCTAGTGAAGAACCTAAAAAGCTACAGGCTAAATTTTTATAAAATCTCAGGACCTAATTACAAGAGCCCAAACAACAGTTTAGTATCATTTAGCAAGCTGGGGATTTTTTTTTTTCCCTCCAAAAAAGAAGTTAATTTTGAAAAATATGGTTAAGTTTAAAAAGTTGCAATGTGTAAACGGCAGTTCCATGGGATGTGAAAAGATTATAGTTACTTTCATTAAAAAACAGCACACTTCAGAAAAATGGATTGAAGCCTGTACAAAAAGCTATTTAACACTGATAAAAAATAAAATACTTTGGAATTATGCACAAGTATGGAAGCTACATTTTAATTTTTCATTGTCATAGTCTAAAACGTACACAATTACCTTTACATTCATTTCACTTATCAATTTATTAAAAATAAAACTGCAACATGCTAGAAAGAGGTCCATCACAGGGACATTTACAGACTTCTGCTCTGTCATGCCTCACTAGCTTGCTTTGAAAAGCAAGATGCTACAAAAGTTACACTCAACAGGTAAGACTTAGTAAGTTGAAGAAACCCTAAAGGTGGAATCCTGTCAACTGAGGTAGATTTCTTTTCTTTTTTAGAAAAATTTTTATTTTTTTCTTGAGGTGGGCATGGGAGTGGGTGGGATCCCTTTCTTGCCTCTGCGGTTAAGCCAGAATGAAGCCACTGGGTGGTGCAGGATGTGTGAGCGGGTGGATCTCAACACAAGTCCACGAGTTGTTTTCTTTTTCGCTTTTAGGAAGAGGTTGAATTTAAGACAAAGAAACTTGAATGTTAAATATTTAAAGGATTATAAAAGAGCAGCAACATTCTTGGTCTATTTTTGTAGGCAATAGATATGAGGATTAGGTTCTGACTGGAATCCTGAGTGTTGTGGAGACAGCCCCCACACGTGACCCACCTGTTTTCCAACAGGCATTTTTCCAAGAGTGAGTTTTGGAACATTAAGAGGCAAATTAAATTTTCTCAGGCTTTGAGGGATCTGGGCTGAAGTTTTTTTTGATGTATAGAGTTTAGAACAAACCATTTAAAGTTCAGTGTCCCCTAATATGGGTCTAATTATCAACATGCCACTATGTCCACATTAGAATTGAACTGATTTTGTAACAAGTTATTTTCTATGAAACCCTGGAAGGTGGTGAATGAGGGAAAGTGCCCAAAAACATGTAAACAAGAAAAAAGGAACTGGAGACGAGGGGAACGCTTTAAACTGTAAAAGCTGTAACATCAGCTCTGACAGTTAACACGTAATGAGAAATGGATGTGGGTGAGCTGAGCCACAGGTGAGGTTCCTTCTCTCTCTAACACAACAGCAAACAGTGATGTCATGGAACTATAGAACACCAAAGTCAAATGCTAGGCAAAAGGAAATAGGAAAACGTTAAAAAGAATGAACATTTCCATTTTCAATGAATGACATAAAATGAAAATTAACGATCTTACAAATCT